CCTTGTAAAACCGAATTGATTTTTATGTAGCAATTTATTAATATTGAAGAAACTTAACATCTGATCTAAAATAATTTTTTCAAAAATTTTACTTAATGTTGGTAGTACAGAAATTGGTCTAAAATTGGCGGGGTCTAATGTACTACCAGATTTAAATATAGGTATGACTTTACTATGTTTCATTAAATCAGGAAACACACCAGATTCGACGCTTATATTAAATATAGTGGCTAGATAAGGTGCTAATATATCTATTATAGATAAAATAACTTTAACGGAAATCCCCCATAAGTCTGCCGTTTTCTTAACATCAATAGTTTTAAAATATTTAACGATATCTTTTGGCAGTACCCTATGGAATTTAAAAGTATTTGAACAAGCCTTTACATTTTGTTTGAGCAATGATTCGGCGAAAGTAGGAGAAGAATTTAATGATTTTGTTGTCAAAAAAGGATCATCAGTAAAATGTTTCTCAAAAGCCATAGCAACTTCTTGATCAGATCGCGTTAAATTATTGTTAATATTTAATTGAAAATCCGAGTTGCGCGGTTTGACCTTGCCCGTTTCACTATTTATTATTCTCCAGGTCATTTTAATTTTGTCGGATGCAGTTTTAATTTTGTTGCTTAAATGTAAAGCCTTAGCAGTGGAGCACACTTTATTAAAAATTTTAGAATATGTTTTTACATAATCTCTAAATATAACACTACTATTATATGATCTTTCATCATAAAGCTCGTATAACCTTCGCCTACTTTTATAAATTCCTACTGTCGCCCATTCATTAAATGATTTGCGACTGTTAAGAGAGAAAGTTTTAGAAGTAAATATTCTACTAAATTCACAACGTATGATTTCAAATAATGTAGCATACAAATAATTAGCACTATTTTTAAACGAAAGTGATGGAAGTCTTTTTATTATATTACTTCTAAACCTCTCCAAGCGATGTTCATTTATTGGAACAAACTGTTTCTAAAATAAGTTTTGTAAATGATCTGTCCAACCTTTCTTATTGTTATTCATTCTTTATTGTACACTAAAATACAAAATAACGAGTACAGTTAAATCTTAAGTATAAGTATAACATGTACAACAGGCGGTTTTATCACTCTGAAAGTGATCTTTTCCAGACAACCTTTGTGTAAAGAAACGATGCAAACAATAGTTAAAGTAGAAGGAGTAGTTAAAATAGGTGGAATAGTTAAAATAGGTGGAATAGTTAAAATAGGTGGAATAGTTAAAATAGGTGGAATAGTTAAAATAGGTGCATAAAGACATATCATTGAAACAAATGTTTATGTTTATGTTTGACATAAAAGTTATTTCAGGTATTTTTATATGTACTAAACATGTAATGAAATATAGATGACTTCGTAATTCTTTGTATATAAATGGTTATTTTAAATCGTGTGAATACGCTTGTACAAAATTATTGTGGAATGATTAATGAAATAATGAATAATGAAACATCAAAAGATATTTCTTAGATTTGGTTTAGTCGTGTGATCACAGAATCGGAAAATCTCTTAAGTACACCATCATCGCAATCAGTACGTATCTTGAAAAGCTACTTTTCTAAAAAATCTTGTGTAAGATTAAACGATCACCCAGATGAATGAATTAAAAAGATGAAATTAACGCGATAAAAAACGAAAAAAAATTTTTATAGGACATGGATGACACAGTCTACCTGATGGTAAGTGGTTGCTGTGGCCACATCTACATCTATCTTCGTTTGCGAAACAAAATGCAAATGCGTTGTCAGCCGTAAAGGACTAAGATGGAATGCCTCTTTTCCAGTAAAAAGGGTCTCCGGTTCTTTACACTCACCATACGAAACACAGCAGCATTAAGATGCTATTTTACGCTGATATTCTGTGAGAGAGTGGTCCTTCCCCGGTCGAGCCGACCAATTTGTGCTATAACTATACAATTTGTAGAGCTGCAGCATGGCTCTATCACGTTTTATTAAATTAAATTGCAACCTATATATAATAATAGGTCGGGGATAAAGTTTCTTTGTATATAATGTACAAAGTCAAGACATTTTTTTTTCAAAGTATAATTACATTTAATTATAATATATATGTGCCATTTTCTTCGATAACTTGTTGCCATCTTGTATGAAGTGACATAGTGTGACGTAATGTGGAGCAAGATCGCAATATTAGTAGTTACGTCATAGCCGAGGAATTGAAGATTGACCACAAAACAGTTTTGACCCATTTGAAAGTGTGGCTATACAAAAAAGCTCGATATTTGGGTACCACACGAGCTAACTGAAAGAAACCTAATGAATCGTGCACTCATTTGCGATTCTCTATCAAAACGTAATGAAACCGAACCATTTTTAAAAATATTGATCACTGGTGATAAAAAAAGGATCACCTACGACACGAACGTGCGAAAAAGATCATGATCAAAGGATAGTCAAGCTCCAGACTGTAGCGAAACCCGGATTAACACGTAATAAGGTGATGCAGTGTGTATGGTGGGATTGGAAGGGCATCGTTTATTATGAGCTTTTATCGCCGGGCAAAACCATTAATTCGGATCCCTACTGCCAACAACTAATGAGACTCGAGCAAGAAATTGAAAAAAAAAAAACGGCCGGAATTGATCAATAGAAAAGGAGTGGTCTATCATCATGATAACGCCAGACCACACATACCTGTGGCCACTCGGCAAAAATTGAAAACTTGGTTGGGAAGTGTTAATGCACTTGACAGGACACATCATTTTATTTCATCATCATCATCATCATCATTACAGCCCTTCACAAGTCCACTGCTGAACATAGGCCTCCCCCAAGGAATGCCACAAAGCACGGACCTGAGTCACCTGCATCCATTGACTTCCTGCATGTCTAACCAGGTCGTCACTCCATCTAGTGGGGGGTCTCCCTACACTTCGCCTACCGGTACGAGGCTGCTACTCGAGAACCTTTCTTCCTCATCGGTTGTCGGTTCTTCGAGCTATATAGTCGGCCCACTGCCACTTGCTTACTAATCCGTTGGGCTATGTTGGTCATTTTCACTTAATTTCAGTCGTTTTATTTCATTACGTGGAAATTAAGAAATTAAGTTCTAACAAATTCAATATAATGAAATTTAGCTGATACTATATAAAGAACAGAAAAGGGCCAAAAACTGAGCCTTGAAGAACTGTCACAGATATTAATAACCAGAAAGAATGACTGCTATTGATAACTACTGTTTTGTGTTTTATTTGTAATATTAGATAATAAGTTGAAGCGCTATGTTTTTATCATCATAATGCTGTAGCTTCCTTATAAATATTTTACGGTGAACATAATCAAAGGCCTTAGACAGATACTAAAATATGTCAAGAGTATCCGAGTTCTTCTATATTTTTTTAAATATAAAATAAAAATAAGATGAGAAGACAAAATGTGAAGTTATAAAAATTTTTGCGATTACGTTTTTACTCAATCAAACAAATTAAACAAACTAGTAGCATGAATGTATGTATTTAATATAATATATAATGTACACAAATTACCCGTATATGCTCAAAAACTTATAGACAAATAGTTTACTCATCCTCATATCGCGAAGTAACTCAAAGAGTACCCCAGGGAAATATTCTTGGTCCATTTTTATTCCTTGTTTATATAAACGATTTACCAAATTATATAAATCAAGATATGGTACTATTTGCAGACGATAGCACAGTGATGTTTACAAGCACAAGCAAAAATCAAATGATATCTGACATAAATCAAACACTAGACATAATAATTCAATGGTTATCAAATAATAATTTATTAATTAATCTAAATAAAACAAATCTAATGACATTCAGAAACGTGAAAAATAATTTAATAAATATTAATATTTGCTGCAACGGACAACAAATTAATGTAGTCGAAAATGCAAAATTTTTAGGCCTCAATCTCGATTCAAACTTAAAATGGAAATCTCAAGTGGAAGATATTTGTACTAAACTCAACCGGTTCTCTTATGCTCTATATAGACTTGGAACAATTGTGAATCAATCTGCCGTCATCACTGCGTACCACGGTTATGTAGAATCGGTGTTAAGGTATGGTGTCATCTTTTGGGGTAACTCTGTAGATAATGAAATGATATTTAGAGCCCAAAAGAGATGTGTAAGAGCCATTATGAAGTTAAAAAAGACGGATAGTTATAAACCATTTTTTATTAGTCTGAAACTGTTAACACTTCCGTGCCTTTCTATATATGAGATAGCCATTTTTGTTATTACGCATATTTCTTTATTTGAGTGCTTACACAGTAAACGTAATAATCAAAAAATATGTTTTCCATCAAACAAAACAGCCCAATTTAACTACAGTGTATTTTGTATGGCCCCTAGAATTTATAACCATTTACCATTACACATTTTGAGATGCTCCAATATAGATAAGTTTAAAATACTATTGAAGCAATTTCTTCTTAATAAGGCATACTATAGTGTGAAAGAATATCTCAAAGACAAATATGAAATTCAATAATTGACTGTTACATGACTGAGAATAACTAAATTGACTTGACTTATACAATATTATCTAAATTGACTTATCGCTATTATTTCTGATTTTATATCATGTGAATTCCAATTTTAACTAGAGTATGTTTAAGTAATTTAATATAAAAGTAATAAAATGTGATGGACATTGCATGCCAAATGGCGGAATATAGCTGTACTAAATGTTTGTTCTATAAGTGATAAACTACGTAAACACCAACACACCAACTGTATTAACCTATATTCGCAATAAACGATTTGAATTTGAAGCTTTACGGCTTCACCGGCTTTATTACGAACGATTGTTGCTTTAGTATAATATAGATAAAAGGTATGTTCGGATTCAGATGAAATGGCTATCACGTTCAAAAGTCACCATATGGGTTGATCACATAGTAGGGAGTATCGAGTTAGTATTGACAGGCGGACTGCATGCGGTGTGTGGGGCGATCGCGGGCGGACTGCGACCAGATTGTGTGCGGGTATTACGTGTGCAGAGTGCAGGCGAAGTGTGGACGGTGAACGGGCGTCGTGTCGGTGGATGTGGATGCGTGCGTGGCGCGTACCTCGACAGTGGGGAGGTTGGCGGCGCCGTCGTCCCCGCCCACCACGTAGAGGCGCGCGGCGTGCGTGACGACGCCGGCGTTGCGGCGCGCGCTGGCCATGGGCGGCGCCGGCGCCCAGCCCGCGCCCTCGCGGAAGCGCTCCACCGAGCGCCGCACCGTGGGCCCGTCGTGGCCGCCCACGGCGTACAGCGCGCCCTCCACCACGCCCACGCCGCAGCCCGAGCGCCGCGCGCCCATCTCGGCCACGGGCTGCCAGGCGTCGGCCGCGGGCTCGTAGCGCTCCACCGTGTGCAGGCAGGCGCGCGCGGCGCCGTCGTAGCCGCCCACGGCGTACAGCCGCCCGCCCAGCACGCCCACGCCCACGCTCGAGCGCCGCGTGCTCATGCCGGCGATGGGCCGCCACACGCCCTCGCGCGCGTCCATCGCCTCGGCCGACGCCAGGCCCGACGCGCCGTCGAACCTGCACCAGCACACGTCCACATCCACACTTACACCTACCGACTTACTCTTCCGAGAACCTCTCGTTTTTCGAAGCAAAATAAATTACAATTTTCATCACAGCTTAAATTAAAAGTTTTATACTTTGCAAAATAAATTCAAATTACTGCATTCATACGACCAACCAAACACTTCTATGTATACTACTAGACAGGCTCTTCGGCCTTTATTACATTACACACTAAATTACAGTCAATTCTACGTAACTTCTGTAATCGACTGCGAACGGACGAAAAGACTAGGTCTGTGTTCTGTAAACTGCGAACGTTGTTTTAAACTGATTTTATTTAATATGACTAAAAAAACGTTGTCATTGTATATTTCCACACTTTACCAATCTGATTTCAAGTTCAGATAAATATGTGACTTTTTTCGTATTAGCCTAAAAGCAGTAACCGCGCAAGCTACCCGCCTGCATCACAGCTCACCGCTTTAGTAGTATACATACAAGTCTTTGCAGGTAAGTTAATAATTCAAACTCAATACAAGCCGTCCGTCTCGCAATAATTATTGGCAATCAGTTAATTTAATCACTCAAAACTCAAATTAGGCCTTTTGTCAGAACAGACATTCAATTCAAGGCGGTCCCAACCGGACCTAAATGTTCTATAGCAAATTCAGACGACGCGTACAAAATGGACACCCGCCGCGCCCGATCCACTTACGGTCGCAAACAAAACACTAGTCGACGATGCCGCGTCGTTCAATGCACTCAGTAATTACTTCCGACGCGTCCCGCTCGCAACCAACTCCGCTCGCGCGAACGTCAAACCGGTACAAATGTACCGCGCCGAGCGCCCTCTGGCGTCAATTCTTGAAATTTGCGTTTGTCGCGAACAGACCCCTTAGCATATTTAGGGGCCAGTTAGGGGACAGTTTCCGTTTCACTACTTTTAAAGGGTCCGTTAATGACTAAACGGTCCCCTAAATTTATGGATTACTGGTCCCATAAACCTTCACATAAGTTAAAGCGACTACTAGAGGACAAGATGGACCTTGATCTATTTGATTTTTTTGATAATTTACACACGATTGATACTATATTTGATACAAATCGTAGTCGAAGACTTAAAATATATCGAAAACGACCAAATAATTTCAACGATTTCGATAAAATAGATTTTTTCCGAAAATATAGGTTATCTAAATCAACAGTGACATATTTGTTGGAAAAAAATGAACATTTTTTGGAATTTCCTGATAATAGGTGAGTAATACATATATTATTTATGTATATTTACTTAGGTAATCAATTTTAATGTAGGTACGATCGTCCATAATATTATTAAAATTTTAGTTTTAAAATAATACATGAATACGTATTTTTTGTAGTAATATATATCATTTCTGATAAAACCGGTAACTACAACTGGATAATGAAGCATTATCGTCAAAAAAATTTGTCACATAAGGAGGGAAGGATTCCTCTAGCTATGGGTCTGTAGCGTTCGTGAAAACAAATTTTAGTTTAGGGGACCTTTTAGCTTAGCGGTTGTCTAACTATGTGATTGTTTAGAGGATGTTGGTGAAATTGGGCATTAGTGAACTAAATTAATGAGTCAAGTATGTTTTATTTACTATTGTGCGATAACCCGTGTACATTTCATTTTACAGAGGACTTTTTGAAGTAATAATAATTTTCTTTATATATTTTCTGTTAAGAATAATATATATGCTATAATATATTGTAATATTTTTTTATAGGATAAGAGTGACAAACGAGCACACAGTCTACCTGACGGTAAGTGGTTGCTGTGGCCCATAGACATCTACACCTATCTTCGATTACGAATGAAAATGCAGATGCGTCGTTTCCAGTAAAAAGGGTTTCCGGTTCTCTACACTCACCATACGAAACACAGCAGCATTAAGCTGCTATTTGACGCTGGTATTCTGTGAGAGCGTGGTCCTTCCCCGGTCGAGCCGACTCATTCGTGCTACAACCATAATATAGCTGCAGCATGGCTCTACCACGTATTGTAATAAATATGTAAAGCTAGAAAATAAAATTAATTACAACTCAATGAAGGTAGCTCCGTTGATAACTAACTAGAATCAATCATTCTACAAGTTTAGTCACTGTCATGATTTGATCCGTTGTGGTAAATGTAAAGGTTATTTTGCGAAGACGCTGGCCTGTGCCACATCACGATAAGACTATATATAATTATGTTACTACTTATCACTGCTGAATTGGATGGAGATATTATCTCAAAATCCAATATGACAGCATTTGTAATGTATAGTGAATAGGTGATTATAATAGTTACTTTTTTTTTGCTCAAGTCGTAACTTTTAGGAAGAAATGATTTGAATTTGTTTTAAAAGCAAATGGTAAATGTGTGTAGGGCGCGCACTGACCCGCCCACGGCGTAGATGACGTTGCCGATGACGGCGACGCCCAGCGTGGAGCGGCGCGCGCACAGCGGCGGCCCGGCCGCCCAGGCGTCCGCGCCCGCGTCGTAGATGTCCACGCTGCGCACGCGCAGGGTGCCTGCACACAAACCTTTCTCTTTACGCGCTCTACACAACCGAATGAGAATGAGGCGTCGTGCACTGATGTGATGTGTGATGTGTGATATGTGTCGTGTGTTGTAGTGTCCTGCAGTGCAATGGAGTTGTGTGTGTGATGTCTTTTTTATTGGGACAAAAACAGTTACACATTTATGTTACACAAGACAATTAATTTATAAAGGAGTACTTAACCTGTAACCACACCAATGCCCACGAAGTAATATTATATACTTCGTCTTATTTTTAATACAATTGCGCAATTTATGAGAGTGTATGTCATTATGCTAATTATTACATAATTATAAATCATTATAGTCAGTTAGCAGCTTAGTTATTATTATGAATCTCAGTTGCCCCGGCCGAAGTCGACTGAGCTAGGCCCCATCAATAACCCACTCGACGGGCAACCAGAGGGTTTGGGCCCAAATGGCCTATGGAAAATTATAATGTAATGGCTGATAAGCAAACACAAACTTACCGAGTTCCGGAGATAGGGTCAACCACAATGCACAGTCAAATGGTAAGTAAGTGGATGTAAAGTGGTGTATGAAAGTGTGTAGATGTAACCTGACGTCACCGATTTAATGTGACAGCAGACCCACAGGCGCTGCTTTTTACCAGAATGTGCGATCACTCCAGTGGGCGTTCACCAATTGAGACTTTCTGCTTTTATTTCACTATATTAGTTTATCAATTCTATTATACATTTAATTAACTTCAAATTTAACTAAATCGACGTTAATCGAACTTAAAAATAAGTAACACACTGCACAACTTAAGAACTTTCTGTCAAAGTTCAATGTCCCATCTTCACTTAGCACGAATCGAACACGAACTCGATCTCCTCTCGAGTCACAAATTTTTAGCGTTCTAACCGACAAGGGAAAATGTTTTCATACGATATTAAAATGCCACACAAGCAACTAGTCGACGCAAATTAATGGCAATCGAAGTTAAGTTAATCACTCAAGACAAGCCTCGTTGTCACGTAAAACGCACGAAATGAGACAACGCAATCAGAGGCAGTCGTCACGCGACCGAACTATTAGAGAGTAATTTCCAGACTTCTAACCGACACGGCGGCCGCGAACAATTCATTGCCCACACGTCTCGCGACCGAGCGGTCAGCGGAGAGACGCGCGCGGGAGAGGGGGCCGGCGGTGACCTTAAATTCCATCGGAGGAACACGCCGAGACGCGCGTCTTGAATGCAAGTTTTTAAAATGTTAAGATTTGGCCTAAACAAACCCCCGTCCCGGGCATAAGGACTTATGTCAACGAGTAAATTGGCAAACGGGATAGGGTCGCGACGGCACGTTGCAAGACCGAATCTCCAACCAAAACCTCGGCCACCCTAGGCACCCCATCCGATCCATACGACAACTTAACAATGCGCCTACGGCGCCAATACAAAGGCCAAGCGTTGGGTTCTTTAACTAACACGAGGTCTCCAACCCGAGGAGAATCCGTCTTGTCAGACCACTTAACGCACTGCTGCAAAAGACGTAGGTACTCCAGAGACCATCGGTGCCAATAACTCTGAGTCCTTTGTTGCAGCAGGTCAAATCTCAACTCAACCGCGAAGAGTTAATTTCCCTGAAGGGGTACTCGGGCAGGGCGTTAAGCGGCTGGCCAATCAGGAAGTGGCCCGGGGTTAGAACCTCCAAATCATTCGGATCGGACGAGAGGGGACAGAGGGGCCGAGAGTTGAGTACCGCCTCAATTTTACAGAATACGGTGGCAAGTTCCTCAAATGTCAAAATAGTTTCGCCAATAACGCGACGGAGATGCGTTTTTGCAATCTTAACCACCGCCTCAAAAATACCGCCCCAGTGTGGGCAAGCCGGAGAGTCGAATTTCCACTGGATGCCCTTCTTAGACATCGCAGTACCTAAATAAGTCCTGTTGCTGGACAGAAATTCGACGACTTCTTTCAAATATCTTTCCGTGCCCTTATAATTCGTTCCGCAATCAGACCGGATCAGGTCCGGCTAACCGCGACGCAATACGAAGCGGCCCAGCGTAGCCACAAAGGCTTCAGTGCTGAGGGCACTTACAAGTTCTAAGTGAACGGCCTTAGTGGCGAAGCACACGAAAACGCACAGATAGGCCTTATGTGAACGCGGGTTACGAAGGTTGGAGGACTTGACAAGGAAGGGGCCAGCAAAGTCTGTTCCGACTGGTTCCGAATGGTCGGATGGCCGTGACGCGGTCGGGTGGTAAGTCACCCATCATAGGCTGCGATATGGTGGCCTTCAGTTTATAATAAGGTATGCACTTAAAGAGGACGCTTCGAATGGTGCGTCGGCCAGCCAAAATCCAAAACTCCCGCTGCAAAATAGCCGAAAGAGCGTTACACCCCGCGTGGGCATTCTGAACATGTGCTGTGTGTGGTATCTTGTAGCGTCTTGTAGTGTCGTGCAGTGGCGTGCTGTGTGTGGTGTCTTGTAGTGTCGTGCAGTAGCGTGCTGTGTATGGTGTATTCTAGTGTTTTGTAGTGTCTTGTAGTGTCGTGCAGTAGCGTGCTGTGTGTGGTGTCTTGTAGTGTCGTGCAGTGGCGTGCTGTGTGTGGTGTCTAGTAGTGTCGTGCAGTGGAGTGCTGTGTGTGATGTCTTGTAGTGCCGTGTAGTGGCGTGCTGTGTGTGGTGTCTTGTAGTGTCGTACAGTGGCGTGCTGTGTGTCGTGTCTCGTAGTGTCTTGTAGTGTCGTGCAGTGGCGTGCTGTGTGTGGTGTCTTGTAGTGTCGTGCAGTGGCGTGTTGTGTGACGTGTCTCGTAGTGTCTTGTAGTGTCGTGCAGTATCGTGCTGTGTGTGGTGTCTTGTAGTGTCGTGCAGTAGCGTGCTGTGTGTGGTGTCTTGTGGTGTCGTGCAGTGGCGTGCTGTGTGTGGTGTCTTGTAGAGTCGTGCAGTAGCGTGCTGTGTGTGGTGTCTTGTAGTGACGTGCGGTGGCGTGCTGTGTGTGGTGTCTTGTAGAGTCGTGCAGTGGCGTGCTGTGTGTGGTGTCTTGTAGAGTCGTGCAATGGCGTGGTGTGTGTGTGTGTGTGTGTGTGTGTCGTGCAGTGCAGGCGGTACCGTTGAAGCCGCCGACGGCGTAGAGCTTGCCGGCGACGACGGCCAGGCCGGCGCGGCAGCGGCGCGATGGCAGCGCGGCGGCGCGGCGCCAGCGCGGCGGCGAGGCGTCCAGCTGCAGCACCTCCACCTCGCGGATGGCCTTCGGCGCCTGCCCGCCCACCACCACCAGCACCTGCACGCGATCAACTACCCCGTGCATATCGACACATTCGCCTTGTATAATAATAACCCACAATTTACAACACACTGACATCCATTTTAAGCACGTGAATTACTCGTCACCTGGATTTAAATCAGGTGATCGTGAGATTGATTAAACGCAACCGTCGGAACTTCTCCGCCGCCTGAATAAATTACAGAAAGAGACTTTCTCGAACAGTGTAACTTTTCTACGAGGTAGAGCCATGCTGCAGCTATATTATGGTTGTAGCACGAATGGGTCGGCTCGAACGGGGAAGGACCACGCTCTCACAGAAAACCAGCGTAAAATAGCAGCTTAACGCTGCTGTGTTTCGTATGGTGAGTGTAGAGAACCGGAGACCCTTTTTACTGGCAAAGAGGCATTCCATCTTAGTCCTCACGGGTGACAACGCAGATGACACAATGTAGATGTCTATGGGTCACAGTAACCACTTACCATCAGGTGGACTGTGTGCTCCTTTGTCACCTGATCCTATATAAAAAAAAATGTATGGGGCAGTGGAGTACAATCATTTCTCATCTAGGCGAGCGAATGACGGATGCGACAAGCCGCATAAGGATAAGAAGGGGTATTTTCCACGGCGATTATTTGAGTCCAATCTGGTTTTGCCTTTCCCAGCACGCTTACAGTACCTTAATGGCGGACTCGGGAGGGAACATCAACAAATGTGACCCACCTTTTCTATATGGATAATCTCAAATTATATAATATGGATATTCTCAAATTAATTTCGCCTCCAGTCGCTCCCATCTTATGGAATTGCTAAACATCATTTGTGATTTTAGCAGTTCTATTATAATTCAGCTAGGAACAGATAAGTGTGCGGTACTCCATGTTTAAAGGGGTAGAGTTTTTAACTCTGAGGGCATACGCTTATCTTTACTCATCAACGGACCCTTTCCGAGCCTGAAATATACCAATACCTAGGTATGTCACAAAATATATGTATTGATAGGCGGTCATGAAACAATTAGTTTGTGATCGGTTTTTTAGCAGGCTTGACTAACATGCTTAACCAGTGGTCTTGTCAGGCTCACGCCTGGCATAAGGCAGACGCATATATAACTGTTGCGTCATGCCTATTTCCTTATATACCTATTGGCATATTCAGGTGAACTTAGACAGAACTTAACGCCCTGGATGGAAAAGTTCGCATTGTTATGACGTCCCATAGGATACATCACCCGAGACTTTCTACTACAGTCGCTCCGCATTAACTGACCCATCGTCATTTATTTATTTATTTTTATTTATTTGTAACGGTTTTAAAATGTCAGTGTGGGTGTGGGTGTGGGTGAGTGTGGGTGTGGGTGAGTGTGGGTGTGGGTGTGGGTGTGGGCGAGTGTCGATGTGGGAGTGAGTTTGGATATCGGTGTGGGTGAGTGTCGGTGTGGGAGTGGGTTTGGGTATCGGTGTGGGTGTGGGCGAGTGTCGATGTGGGAGTGAGTTTGGATATCGGTGTGGGTGAGTGTCGGTGTGGGAGTGGGTTTGGGTATCGGTGTGGGTGTGGGCTAGTGTCGATGTGGGAGTGAGTTTGGATATCGGTGTGGGTGAGTGTCGGTGTGGGAGTGGGTTTGGGTATCGGTGTGTGTGTGGGTGTGGGTGAGTGTCGGCGTTGGAGTGCGTTTGGATGGTGGTGTCGTTGTGGGTGAGTGTCGGTGTGGGAATGGGTTTGGATGGCGGTGTCGTTGTGTGTGAGTGGATTTGGATGTCGATGTGGGTGTGGGTGTGGGTGAGTGTAGGTGTGGGTGTGGGTGAGTGTCGGTGTTGGAGTGGGTTTGGATTGCGGTGTCGTTGTGGGTGAGTGTCGGTGTGGGAGTGGGTTTGGATGACGGTGTCGTTGTGGGTGAGTGTCGGTGTGGGAGTGGGTTTGGATGGTGGTCACGATGTAGGTGAGTGTCGTTGTGGGAGTGGGTTTGGATGTCGTTGTGGGTGTGAGTGTGGGTGAGTGTCGGCGTTGGAGTGCGTTTGGATGGTGGTGTCGTTGTGGGTGAGTGTCGGTGTGGGAATGGGTTTGGATGGCGGTGTCGTTGTGTGTGAGTGTCGGTGTTGGAGTGGATTTGGATGTCAATGTGGGTGTGGGTGTGGGTGAGTGTAGGTGTGGGTGTGGGTGAGTGTCGGTGTTGGAGTGGGTTTGGCTGGCGGTGTCGTTGTGGGTGAGTGTCGGTGTGGGAGTGGGTTTGGATGGCGGTGTCGTTGAGGGTGAGTGTCGGTGTGGGAGTGGGTTTGGATGGCGGTGTCGTTGTATGTGAGTGTCGGTGTGGGAGTGGATTTGGATGACGATGTGGGTGTGGGTCTGGGTGAGTGTAGGTGTGGGTGTGGGTGAGTGTCGGTGTTGGAGTGGGTTTGGATGGCGGTGTCGTTGTGGGTGAGTGTTGGTGTGGGTGTGGGTGTGGGTGTGCATGTCGGTGTGGGAGTGGGTTTGGATGGCGGTGTCGTTGTGGGTGAGTGTCGGTGTGAGAGTGGGTTTGGATGTCGATGTGGGTGTGGGTGTTGGTATGGGTGAGTGTAGGTGTGGGTGTGGGTGAGTGTCGGTGTTGGAGTGGGTTTGGATGGCGGTGTCGTTGTGGGTGAGTGTCGGTGTGGGAGTGGGTTTGGATGGCGGTGTCGTTGTGGGTGAGTGTCGGTGTGGGAGTGGGTTTGGATGGCGGTGTCGTTGTGGGTGAGTGTCGGTGTGGGAATGGGTTTAGATGGCGGTGTCGTTGTATGTGAGTGTCGGTGTGGAAGAGGATTTGGATGACGATGTGGGTGTGGGTGAGTGTAGGTGTGGGTGTGGGTGAGTGTCGGTGTTGGAGTGGGTTTGGATGGCGGTGTCGTTGTGGGTGAGTGTCGGTGTGGGTGTGGGTGTGGGTGAGAGTCGGTGTTGGAGTGGGTTTGGATGGCGGTGTCGTTGTGGGTGAGTGTCGGTGTGAGAGTGGGTTTGGATGTCGATGTGGGTGTGGGTGTGGGTGTGGGTGTGGGTGTGGGTGTGGGTGTGGGTGTGGGTGAGTGTCGGTGTTGGAGTGGGTTTGGATGGCGGTGTCGTTGTGGGTGAGTGTCGGTGTGGGAGTGGGTTTGGATGGCGGTGTCGTTGTGGGTGAGTGTCAGTGTGGGAGTGGGTTTGGATGGCGGTGTCGTTGTGGGTGAGTGTCGGTGTGGGAATGGGTTTAGATGGCGGTGTCGTTCTATGTGAGTGTCGGTGTGGAAGTGGATTTGGATGACTATGTAGGTGTGGGTGTGGGTGAGTGTAGGTGTGGGTGTGGGTGAGTGTCGGTGTTGGAGTGGGTTTGGATGGCGGTGTCGTTGTGGGTGAGTGTCGGTGTGGGTGTGGGTGTGGGTGAGAGTCGGTGTTGGAGTGGGTTTGGATGGCGGTGTCGTTGTGGGTGAGTGTCGGTGTGAGAGTGGGTTTGGATGTCGATGTGGGTGTGGGTGTGGGTGTGGGTGTGGGTGTGGGTGTGGGTGTGGGTGTGGGTATGGGTGTAGGTGCGGGAACCTTGGGCGCGCGCGGCGGCTGGCGCGGGCGCGCGCGCGCGCTTGCGGCGGCGGCGGCGGCGCGCCGCTCGGGCCGCAGCAGGTGGAACGACAGCGCCTCTATCACCAAGTCCTGCGCACACAACAATCCTATTTCGACTACAAACGATACTGGTTTAGATAAACACCTATTCAAAACGATTTATCAATACAATTTAGTACGTAACTATGTTAAAACTTATTTAGGAGTATTTTTTTAAAATAAAGATGACAAACGTGACTGCACCTGATAGATATGGGGATGCTACCATGGACATAACGCTAGACTTATTGAAGTGTGCAGTGTGCAGAGTGTGCAGTGCTGTACACTCTGCACACTGCACACTCTGCACACTCACCTTAACACGCAGGCCAGCGCTGGCGAGCGGCTCGGCTGCTGCGCGCGCCACCAGCACGTCCTGCGCCAGCAGCGGCAGCCGCACGTGTTCCAGCAGCGCGCCCAGGTGCTGCTGCCGTTCCTGTACACCAAGTAGACGCTAACTTTATCACGCTTCCACGTTCATCGACAAATTCTTAAATAATTAAGCAATACTCATCAATATCATTAAAAAAATCCTAATTTTGTATGTGTAATTTAAAGTTCTTACATCTGGATTATGTTGCATCCACCGAATAACCGCATCTAAAACTACTTCTTCGTTTGGCACCTGGAACAAGAACGATAAGCTTAGGGATAATTTACAATTTCTAGTAGTATATCATGAATAATTATATATTTTTACGAAATTGCGTTTTGGTTTAAAAAAATTAATTTATCGATGTGACCACATATTCATATTCCATATAACAAAAGCTTAATTTTTTTATTTCAAACCTCTATTAGTATTTATGAACCACAATAACAGTCTTAAAAATCTTATTAGTAATGTAAAAAGGCTTCCTCTACAAACGTCTTCTAAGATTCCATTAACAGGTTATTCAAATGAAATTGTTACATATAACTTATACTCAACCAAATCTAAGAAATACGTTTTGACAGCTGTCAAACTTATTGAACTAGGCATCCCAACCAAAAACATAAGCACAAATTATCTAGTTTACTTTGACGTATAATAATCTAAGAAATATTAAATAAAACTAAAGTAATCGGTGGCACTCCAAAAAGTGTGTAGCACTGAAGTTAGATAATTATGGTTCATTCGTCAAGGCTTGTTACTTAGCTTAGCTTAGCACTTAATCAACGATGCTTTGAATTAAAATTAAAAATGGTTTGTGACTTCCGCGCAATGTTCATATTTGTAACGGTTGTGATTGAGATTGAATTGTGCGACTTTTGAATGCTTGTGCATATGTTTGTAATTGTATTTGACCACTGTGTTTGTTTGTTGCACGGAAGATTGAAATTGAGTTGTGTGCCTTATGAATGCTTGTGCACATGTTTGTAATTGTAGTTGATCACTGTGTTTGTTTTGCTGAAAGGAAAATTTGAATTCATTTGAAATTGAATGACGCGCTATTTGGATATTTGTATATCTGTTTCGTGGATGTGTTTTATCATGGTGTTTTGTTGAAGAGAAAGCTGAGATTGGATAACCCTATTTGTGCCGAAAGGAATAAAGAGTCATTCCTCCTTTGGTTTTCGCATTTGTAGACACTGTCTAAGATATTTATTTGAAATGAGAAATAGGGCTGTCTCTTACGTTTGTTGTTTTGTTTAATTTGTCAGTTGACCTATGTGGATCGGTGATTAATTTGTTTGAATTAATTCTGTAGTGGAACATTGATGCTTTGGAAAATTAGTTGAAATATGAGCATAGGACTACTTGTCTAACAGGCTAGCTAGTTATGGAGATTATCAGATTGAAATCAGCTGCCGCACTATTTAGTAAATGATTATATGGTGGATGGCTTGGTTATGCCTACTTGTTAAAAATTCATACTAGGGACTATCTGTGCGTTTCGTTCGGCTCTCCATAGACGACGTTCATGTGGAATTTGTTCATGTCGAACTAATCATAGGGGCACAGATAGGTGTTTGAAAGAGGTCGTCGGACTTCTGTCCAGTACAGGACTTGTTAAGGTGCTGCGATGCCCAGGAAGGGCATCCAGTGGAGGTTGACCCTCCGGCTTGCCCACATTGGGGCTGTCTTTTGAGGCGGTGACTTGGGTAACACAAGATCTGATGAGGTGCCTACGGTAGCCTAGGCGGTTGTAGATTTGGTCTTGCAACGTGCCGTCGCGACCCTGTCCCGCTCGTCGGTTTGCTCTCCGACATAAGTCCTTATGTCTGGGACGGGGGTTTGTTTAGGCCAAAAATGGTCATGTTAGGACACACCCAATCACGTTCGATTTTGCCAATCGCCCGATCGTACCAGGTGTCACGCGTGTGTCAGAGAGGGGGCAGCGGAAGGGAGCTTCCCAGCGTCTTGGCGATTGGCTTTAAGTAACTTCTTTGAAATTAATTGTGCATATAAGCTAGATGAAGTGCGTGTTTCTTCGTCACGTAGATATGTGAATTGTGCGATAGTTAACTCGTGCGAGAGTGCGCAATAGTGTACGCGCGTCAAGGAGATATACGGTCTAGGATTAATCCGCGCATTCCTTGTTTGAGAGCTTCTCCCGGTTAATTGTCAGGATATCTTTATAATGGTGTCGTCGCGGCTAGTGCCTTTTGTGTTTGGGTTGCCTAGTTAGATTAATTTGCGTGTCAACGAGGCGTATTTTGACTCTGGCGCGACGTGTTATTCTGGTGCCGAATTTATTATTTGTGATAAGTTAATCCGCGACATTCAATGTCGAATTTTGTGCTACTGTCCTGGCCGTATCGGGTATCACGTGTTCGATTCTGCGATGAGTGTGGAATCAGGCGAATTGAAGTTAGTTAAATGTACAATCAACAGTCTGGAGCAAATGACAAACAGTCTGGAGCGATGCAGCATTTTGGGGCAGCCTGGAAATCGGCCGCTGCTGGTCGCCTACGCCTGCCCAGGCCTCACACATTCACACCTCACTGTACACTGTTCACCAAACACCATTACACACACTCACGACCTGTCCAATCCTAGGAGCAAAGTTAGCTTCGTCTACCGGTAAGTATTATTGGTTTCTAGTTTTCTCCCATATAGTTTATTGTGATAGAACATATTCCACGTGGCCATAATGAGGCCCGACCTGCGTCTGCCCGTCGAAGAAGCTGCTATGGGCCCCAGCCAAGACGACCTTTGCAAGAGCAGCTGTAGGCCGTAACAGTACATTTTATGTACCTTAATTCTTTGCCTTCTTTCCTCGACTGCCAAACGCCACGCAAAATAATAAAAAGTCGTGGTTATCATTCTATTTATTCTTAATAAAAATATTTTAAACTTACATCAACGACAAACCCAGAGAAACTTAAAACTGAAACTTCTCGATAGCGTTCTCGCTGAAAAAATGTCGGTGAGAATAATTTCGTAGTTCTCTACAGTAGATAGACGATAACGTACGTCAAAAATAGATTCGTGCTGCCGAAATCCACACATTTTGCGTCTTACGATTACTTAAACCAAACGATAGCTATGCATAACGCAGCGTTAGATGTTCGTGCTTCTAAATTTTAGTTCCAAATACGCTCACGGAGCGCTGTTCTAATTCCCATACAATATTTTACTGAAACTAAACTGTCTCGTAAACTGTACTATAGAGCAAAATGTTCGTGCTCGGGGTACAGGACGTACCGTCAGCACGTACGGTACGTGTTGACCGTCGGTCGAGCACTAAATTCAACCTTATAAATAACAAAATACTACGAAAAGAACTTCGTTCCAACCGAGTGTTCCACGAAACTAACGCACGTTTTTTTTTATTGTGTGTTTTTATGTACATCATAACTTATATCTGGGTGAACCGATTTCGATGATTCTTTTTTATTTGAAAGCTGGTGTTTCTCATGTAGTCCCATTTAAATTTGATCAAGGTCTGACTACTATATAATTTGACGGCTCCGTGGCGCAGTGGCTTAGCAATGAGTTATTGCGCTGGGGGCCGCGGGTTCGTATCCCGCGCGGAACCAGTGTTTGTATGGCCTAAAAATAATTCTTCCGGGTCTGGATGTTTTTCCTCGTGCAATTTATGTTTGTAAACTGCCTCCACGATACAGGAGAAAATCCTAGGGGGTAACGTTTTTTAAGCATACAACAGTTTTAAGCGTACGACGGAAATAGTTTTTGAGTTATTATTAATAATTTAATAATTTGAAGTCGGTTGTACAACATTTTTTATTTTAAATTATAATTATTCTGCATCCATTTCCTCATCGTATTCTCTTGTACTCTTCGATTGGAAAGTTAATAAACAATTTTTTACAAATCTTCCTCCAGCGGATCCCGCATCACCTTTTCCCGTGCATACTTCGAGCAAAATGCTGCAGTGTCATCATTTCATCAACGAATATGACGCTGTCCCAATTGGTTATATTTTTCATTTCTCTTAAAAACTGTTATATTATTAATGAGGCTATGTCATGCCTCTCCATAATTATTTTGCGTTTATCATTTTTCATATCGGAAGCGCATACGTTTTAAAATGGTTCTCAAAGACTACCATTGTATAAACTGCCATCTACTAAACTTTTTTGCAACTAAGCCGCAGTAGGATATCATAAATAGTAATATGAGATATTATTGTTTATGATATTCCTATGTATACCTATAACTTGTCAAGGTTAACAAATATAATAGAACCAGTCCAAAAAGTTATAGCCGAGTCACAAAATAAGGTAAACATAAAATCACAAAAGTACGCATAATAAGCTCCCATAATGGCAGGAGATTTTAATTACGTAGTGTATTTTTCAGCGCGGCTTTGCATACGAATTTCTTTGCTTATACAAATTTACACTGACAAAATAGGAAGTTATAAAATAAATAAACTTGTTTAATTCGTGATTCAAATAATTTAAGCAATTCTAAAAATAAAATTTAAATAAACAAACAATAAATTAAATCATTTTAAGATTCCATTAATTGATTGAACATTTTTACCGATTATTTGAATATTTGTATCGATTATTCGCAAAACAATGAATTTTAATCATTCAAACACTATGGTAAGATACATAGCGATATATCATTAAAACAACGTCAGCCAAAAAAGTTGACTCTGGTTAATTTTTTTATATTTTGTTTTTTCTGAAAGATTCGAACTTGAATTAGTGATAAAGAACTATATGTATGTTGTAATGAAATATAGATAACTTCATAATTCTTTGGATTTATGTAAAAGGTTATTTTAAATCTTGTGAGTACGCTTGTACAAAGTTATTGCGGAATGATTAATGTGAAACGTCGAAACGTATTTCTTAGATTTGGTTAAGTATAAGTTGCGTAATTTCGCGTAAAGAAAGAAAATTATGTGTCCTGCCCAGTTAAAATGGATTTCCGCAAAGTAACACTTCGATTAATTACGTTATTCAAAGAATAAACTTTATTAGTTTTTCTTGGTTTATATATATATATATATATATATATATATATATATATATATATATATATATATATATATATATGTATATATATATACAGGGTTATTTTTATTTTTCAAAGCATAGCCAAACTTTATATTGAAGTTCAAATAAATAAATTATTATATACCGATATTACATTGTTTAAAATACGAGTAAGTAATGCTTCTTTTTATTTTAAATTATCCCGAATTGTATGTGGTTCATGGG